TCATAGAACCTTCAAATCACTTAGTTTTCTAAGTTTCATAATTAGTACATGCTAATCACAAACTCACCCAATGTGCAATTAATCTGGATTTGCAAAAGAGCTATCATGCCTTGCTTCACTGTTTATTTCACAAGAGCATCCTTCCCTAGAAAAGAATTATGATTTTAATAGAAAAGAATTATGATTTTAATCATAAATTATGATTAGATAGAGCATGATATTTTTATTTTTGAGTAGCAACCAGTAAATTTTAAAGCAATTATTCAACAGCATGTTTCATTTCTGCAGTTTGATGTGACCAAGATTCCTCTGAGCTGCTTCTTTTACTTGAAAATTCAACATTTCTGCAGTTTGATGTGACCAAGATTCCTCTGAGCTGCTTCTTTTACTTGAAAATTCAAATTCCCTATAACATCAGCTACTGGAGTTATTGCAAGTTATTTTTACAATGACTTTAATTCCCAAAGGCACTGTAAATAATGAAGAAATTTACTAACATAGTTTTGTTTCAAGAATAGCAAGTTGTGAAAGGAGAACAGGTTCACAACTGATTACCATTTGAATCAAGTCAATAAAAAATTCTTTCTGTAACATAGCCATGTACAGCAGATATAAACTGCAACGTTGGCAACATTCCTATTTAGCATCCTGAGGTTAAAAATTATTTATTAAAGTGTAATGATTAAAGTACAATACAAGAATTCAAGATCATTTAATACCACTGTTCTCAAAAGGGCATGTTTTAGAAATTTTGATCATACTGCAATCTGCTCAAAGCTGTTAAAGTATGGATAATTTCGTTCAATTTTCCAGTAGGTTTCTGCCTTGAATAAGTAAATAGTGGGTAATGGTTTGTGTCAAAGTCCTTGTAACACTCCATTAAACATAAAGCATGACAATCTGATCAGATGTCTCTTTTATAGTCAGAAACTGACTTGTGACTTTGGGAGTTACTCAGCTGCATCAGGTCACATCAGAAGTCTAGTCTTTTCATCTTCTAAAAATCCCTTATGGCTTTACATCTGACAAATTTTGAATCATAGCATCATGACCTCACTTTTAAAACTGCATTTGATATAGTCCAAGCACTATTACTGAATGGAAAGTAGAACACTCTTCTGCTGGGGACTATATAAAAGGAAACCTTCTCCTTTTTTTTCCTTTTTCTTTTTTTTTTTTTTTCTTTTAAATGCTTTAGATTAAATCATACCCTTAAGCTTCAAGTATTTCACTTACATGGAAAGAAATTAGAGTCCAGCTTAAAATACACACAAAACCAAGGGAAGTCAGAGTTAGAAGACAATCATTTGTCCATTCAAACATTAGTATTTCATGAAGGAAAATATTAAAAACAAACAATCACTCATTTAAACATTTAGAATTGAGATTCCAGACAAATATAACATTAGAGATCCTCTGTGTTGTACATAGCTATCACTAAACTCTGCCTGTGTAAAGTCTTTGTTACATCTAAAGTAACATTAAAAATCTAAATCATTATGATTCCCCAAATGAAACAGTCATCTTTCAGAAACTATTTGCCCATTTCTTTCTTTCCTGCAGGGTAATCTCACTTGTCTGAAGTTCCTAGAAAAGGGAAGGTTAGGACATGCTAAGTGAGAGGAAGAGTAAAGATTCAAAGGATAGAAGGGAGAAGAGCATCAAGGGAAGGTGGAGCAAAAAACCAGCTTGTTCCAAATGTTCACCAGAGTGGGAGATCAATGAAACCTCTTTAAAGTAAAAGGAGCTGTCTCAGTGAATTGAGAAGAGAACCATTGGGCATAGTAAAACAGACACTCTATACTTTACAAATTACTTCCCAAAGCCAAATGTGTGGCTTTGCTCCTTTGGCATATTGAAGTTTCACAGTTTGTAGTCATACTTTAGCTTTTTCCCTGCCACAGGGAGGGACTTAAATCATGCACCCTTCCTGACTAATATTATAGAAGATATGGTCTATCACTCCTGGAACACTGAAATTGTGAAAACAATTTGATGATATTATAAACAGTGTTTCTATAAAACCACTAAGTTTTTAGATTAATTTTAGATTAATTTTTTTCAATAACATATGACTGATTTATGTCAGCTCACCTAAGTATGCCACCTCTCACTCAAAACCATTCCATCTTGCATTCTTGGAAAAGTGCTGTTACAAAAAATGAATGATATGAAAAAGAGGTGATGTCCATTATCTTAGAGTGCACTAGATAACTGTCTTTCCAGAAAGAAAGACCCTGATTCTGTTTTATACAGAAGTTTTTGTATGGACTTGCTAGTAAAATCCCACTTCCTTTCCTACAATTCCCTAAGCTGACAATGGATTTTTTGGCCAATATTTTCAAAAGTTTTGTTATTGAAATAAAATTTCAGTGTCATCACTACTACTTTTCTACAATCTTAAGTATGGATTATATTTCAATATTGTGTTTAATTTGAAACTATAACTTCTAAGGAGCTCTACCATATTCTGTCTTTTTCCATGAAGCCTGTCTTTATGGAACACCCATGCTCTGCCTCGTGTAGTTGGGGGAAATTGTTCATTTTCTTCACAATGGCTGGAATGGGGCAGTGTTTTGGATTTGTGCTGACAGCACAGTTTATAACATAGGAATATTTTTGTTATTGCTGGAAGAACTTACACAGAGCCAAGGCTTTTCCTGCTATTCCTACTGCCATGCTGAAAAGGAGGCTGAGGGAGCATGGGAGGATGGGAAGAGTCACGGCCAGGACAGGTGACCCAGACTGACCAAAGGGATAATCCAGACCATGTGACATCGTGCTCAGTATATAAAGTGAGGGGGAGAAGGAGAAGGGGGAGGATGTGTGGAGTGTGTGGTTGTGCATCCTCCCTCCCCATCCCCAGGGGGATAGAGTGATAGAATTTGTCTTCCCAAGTCACCATTATGTGTGGTGGGGCCCTGATCTCCTGGGAATGGCTGAACACCTGCCTGCCTTTCAGAAGCAGTGAATTAATTCCTTGGTTTGCTTTGCTTGCATGTGTGGCTTTTGCTTTCTCTATTAAACTGATTTTATCTCAACCCATGGGCTCTCTACCTTTTACCCTTCTGATTCTCTCCCTCACCCCACTGGTAGAGGAGTGAGTGAGCAACAGCGTGAAGCTTGGTTGATGGCTGGGCTTAAACAACGCAAACCACACAAAGTAGAGCATTGCTATAGAAAAAAACACATTTTAATAAATTAGAAGGAATAATAATAACTTCCAGTTAATTTAAATTAGCTTCTTAAACCCCTTCTGTAGAATAAGAACCATTAGTAATATTAAACTTCACTAAGGAAAACACTATTTTTTTTCTTGGTGGAATGGGAAAATGTAGTTAAAGCACAGTTCATGCTTCTGACTTAAAGCCTCTGATATGAGCTGAAAAATTAAAGGAAGTTTAGTCTAAATTAGAGCCTTTTAAAATATCCACAAAATAGTAATCTATTGTTCTCATGGGATTTCAAACTCTTATGCTTAATATCCAATAGATTGGCAAAAGCAAACCCTAGACCAAATATTTGGTGTAACTTGAGTTTTGCCCATTATTCTTTCTTCTCGCTGACTGAAAAAAAATCTTGATGTAATTGTACCCTGGAGAAAAACAGTTTCTTACAAAGCACAAAGCCAGGTGCAGGAGAGCTTTTATTACAAACAAACATCCTTAAACTGAGGCCTGTGACCTGTTTAGGACTGTTTAGGATTTAGCTAATTGTAAAATAGATACCAAAACACTGAGATATTTACTGTGTTTGATAGTCAATTAATTGTTCTAATGAGCATCAAAGAAAGAGATTTTATATAATTCTCAATAGACTTTATTGTTAGTAAAGTCATTAAGGCAGCATAGAGAAACAAATTTTTTTAAAAAGGAAAATATCATTTTGCATTGCAGAAATAAAATATTTATGAATCTTTTGAGACAAACATTTTAATATGAAACAGCACAATTAAGTCTTGGGCAATGTTTTCTTATTAACATCATACTGTGAGGGGAGTTGTCTTAGAAAGTTTATTTACATTTTGTTTAACAAAGGAAGAAATATAGATAGTTTTCACCAGAATTCAAAAACTTCTTGAATTAAATCATTATAAATGCAAACAGGATGGATTTGAAAAGGGAAATTCTAAACACTTCAGGGATTTAATATTGATTTAATACAAAAAAAGAGTCTTTGACCTCTCTCCAGAACTGAACATGATAGCTGTCCCATTGCATAGTCGTCTTTATGTTCCACAATGCCTCACTTGCACAGAAGAGAATTTCATCCTTTATACCCTGAAACCAAGAAGAAAGTCCATGAACCATACACTCATCTCCATGACCTTCAGTCATCATAGTAGGATGGTCAGAAAATATGTGCTAGTAAACAAATAAAAACAGTCTGAGTGAAAAAGTCATACAAAATCATCAACTAAGTTTCTTTATTGACAATTTTTATTTGCAGCTCTCTTCTTTGCATTATCTTCATATTGTCAAAATTTTGGCTTTTACTCTAAATCAAAATTCTTTTGCTATGACCATAGCCAAGTTCAGTGTGCTTTGCTCTCTATGTTTAAATAAATTCACTACAGACCATAATTGCATTTGGGTTTAACAGAACTCTGGTGTTGATGGCAGGTGGAAAGATTTTGGAAGTGGGGGCTGGGGAGGTGACTTCTGAAAGTCAGTCAGACAGAGCCAGCTTAGCCACCTCCCAGATGGACCCACTAGCAGCTAAAGCTGAGCCCATTATAGCATATTTAAGAAAGGGTAAAAGATGTGCTGTGGCAGCTGTTAGAGAAGTGAGAAATATGTGGGAGAAGCAGCCCTGCAGACACCAAGGTACAAGGAGGGGGAGGAGTTGCTCCAGGGGCCAGAGCAGAAATTCTCCTGCAGCTTGTGGGCAAGACCATGGTAAGTCAGGCTGTGCCCTTGCAGCCCATGGAGGACCACAGTGGAGCAGAGATCCACCTGCAGCCTGTGGAGGACTCTGTGTAGAGGCAGGTGGATGTGATTTGCATCTGCAGGTTGTGATGAGACAATGTTGGAGCTGACTTGTGTCAGGCATTAGAGTCCATGGAGAAAAGCCCACATAGGAGCAGGTTTTCTGGCATAATTCATGACCTTTTCAAGGCACTCTATTCCTGGAGAGCTGTACCCCATTGAAAGGACCCATGCTAGACAAGCGTGTTAAGAACTCTATCCTGTGGAAGGGGCTCCATGCTGGAACAGGGGAGCAGCATGAGAAGGAGGACCAGAAATTAATGTGTCATGAATTGACCACAACTCCCTTTCCCTATCGTCCTCTGTCACTTGAGGGGAAAAGACAGAAGTGAAGGTAGAAGTGAAGATGAACGTGGGGAGAAGAATGGGGTGGTAAGAAGAGGCTTTTAGTTTTGTAATTATTTATAACTATCCATATCTGTTATAACTATCCATATCTGTTATTAACTTAAAAAAAAACAGGATTAGAACATATATATTCTATCCTTTATACTTATTTTGAGGAAAGAATCAACATATTTAGAATCATATCCCATCTTAACAACTTAACTAACAATTCACAGAATTCACTAAAATATATTGTTTTTAAGTACATAGTCTTTGACAAGTTACTAAATCTGGATGATTGACAAGTCTTTTTAGTAGTGTTTTCTGCTGAAGAGCAAAAATTCTGATATACAAGATTCTACTTTCAATTCAGTATCACATTTTAATACATGCAAGACTGGCCCTAGCATACTTTGCTAATAAACCTCTTCAGCTGCCTTAAAATAAAGAAATTGAAGAAGTCATATTTAAGTGACCTGAAATGACTGGATTACTGAAAGGAATAACATGTGCTCCAAAGCCAGTATATGAGTACCTCAAAATTTCTGGAAAAAAAGCCAAAAATTTGTGTGTACCTTATTCCCTCATCCAGCAGAATATCAGTGTTTATCAGTTGAGTATTCCATCATTTCTTATGTGTATCACCACATTTCCCTTCAATAACTGTTTACTGAGATTTATCTTGCATAGTAATTTAGTCTTTAGTTAGGCTTACTGTTCATTTCAATATTTATTTAATTTAGAATAATAACCAATAGAACAAAACTGTTGCCTGAGACCATGTCCCCATGCCAATAGCATGCAAAATTGTCTAGTAAATTAAAATAACCAACAAGAGCTGTCAAGCTCCATAGTGTCATTTCAAATTAATCTCTGTAAGAGAAGTCAGACTTTATATTATTAACAACAATAGCTGTAATTCATATTTTTTCCTTAGCAAAATGCTAAAGTGACAGCACATGATCTCAAATGCCAATTAATACAGACAGCAGAAAACATCTTTTGAGAGAAAGATGAAACAGCTTTTTATTGCTTATTTGTGGTGCACTGTAAGAGCAATAGAGTAGCTAATGTACATGCCCATTACATTGTCTAAGACACAAATGTGTGCTCAGTAGCAGGAAGTCCCTGCCCAGCTGATAAGAAAGGGGAAAAAAAAAAAAGAGGTTAAAATTGGGTTATTATTCAGCCTGCTTTAGTTTTGAAAAGACTATTTTATTTTTAACCCTTAGAGAAATTATTCCAAGCAGAGTTGAGTTTTAGAATGATTAACCTTTTCTGTATTTTAAGAATTAATGTTCTATTTAAAAATTTATTATTAGAAAAGAAGATAGTTCTTTTATTTGCTCTATCTGAAACACCTATTTTTGAACTATTTTTATAAAATCTATGCATACGTATTCAAAAAAAATTATAATTTAAAAACATATTTATTAATCCTCTGAAAAAATAGAAAAATTCAGTAAAGTTAATAAAGTTAGAACAATGATAAGTATATATTAACAGGCTTTTAGGTTTGGGATATGTTTAATTTAATGAAATTGCCACTATGATTGTCAGTAGTAAATGAATTATAAATAAAATATATATTCCCTATGTGACCCGGTAGTTGGAATTCAGCTCCAGGGATCAGACTAAATTAATTTGATACTGTTATTTCAATATAAAGCAATAATCTACAGCAGAAAATTACCACACACAAAGTGTGAAAAATCTTTGGTATGTGCTAAAGAATGCCAGCAATCAGAAAGACAAGGGACAGATTTATTTTCTGTCTTCACCAAAGTCAGAGAAATACCTGAAGTAATATATTTAAAACCTCAAAACATTTTATGTGCTGAAGGGAAGTTAAAGTGGGAGCATGAGTGTAAATCACAAATGGAATTGTGGTGGAATTAATGAAGTAGGGCAATTGCTTTTTTCAGTTATAACTTTTAGTGTTCTTAATTTCGTAGTTCAGTTATAACTTTTAGTGTTCTTCATTTTGCAGTTTGTGCTGATTTAGAATCCACAGGCAGTGTCAGAATGGAAGAAAGTAACTTTACATGATTGCTTCTGAGTGCAGAAGTGTCTGTCATAGAACTTTACTCAGGGTGTATTCAGTGGGGCTTTGGAAAGAGTGTGTCATACAGAAGAAGAGATAAAATACAGAGTTTCAGATTTTCTATTTGTAGTTGTGCAGGTGATAAAACACATGGTTCCTCTTATTTGCAGAATTTTATCATGACAATTTTTATAATGGTCTGTAATCTAATCAGAGTAACCACAGTAAATGCCAAATAATCACTTTGTTCCCCACCTATACGCCTACTTTAAAAATATTACTTGCCTTCGGAATAATAGCTGTAGCTACATGCACAGCTAGTAACTCTTTGGATAACTATGGAACACTGGAGAGTTTAAACATGACTTCCACGAGGCTGTATCAAGCAGCCTCAAGGTTATTCATCTGGACTGAGTCATATGAGACTCTCTGGTCAGAGAGATTGAATCATCAGGGCCTTCTAAGATTAATATTGTCCCATCGTCCTTGGATCATCTACCCATCTGCTTGTTGGAGAGCAAAAGGATGGGAGCTTCTGGGGATGTTACCTACTGCCCCAGTTTGCTTCTACACTTTCCTTTTTCCTCAGGTATCAGTGTTGAAGGTCAAAGTCACAGTTTTAAGGCCCATGCCATACTGAAAAGGCTTTTGCTTCCAGTTTTGTTTTTTGGGTTTATTTTAGTAGAGCTTCAGTGCAGTCTCCTGACTCACTCAGAACCTTTACAAGGGCAGTGCATATAACCCAAAACCACTGAAAAGGAATAACAGATTCAAATGCTATACTTAGTATGAAAAATAACATTCATACTACACTTGCTTCTCATTCTTTATAAATACCAGCAGAGGAGATTTTGAGGAGGAATGCTGGACAGTAATCACACACATTGTGCCAGTTTTACCTTAGACACATCTAAGACACACTAAATGGATCACAGCATTTGTACCATGTCTTTTAAAGCATTCTGCTCCATTACAGTTGCTTCATGAGATTTGGGGACTTCTGACCTTAAGGATCACACCCACGAGCCAGAACATTCTGTGATCCCAGTAATGAGAACAGTTTCTACATAATTCATGGATATTTTTGTTCATCTATTTCTACACAGTATTTTTACAAAGCCCAACCAACTACAAGCTCCTCTATTTATCTGCCAACACGTTTGGAAGAGTTTCCATGGTTTAAACAATACTGAAGCCTTATGCCCTACTTAAGGTGAGCATAAAAATAAGTACTCAGCTTGAAAAACTTCTTTCTTAGGAGACTGTATCAACCTGTATTCATATGAATAGGTTTCTAAAACAGGGAACTGTACAGAGCTCTGATTTGCACTGTAATACTTGGGGTGTGGAAAAAAGGTGTCAAAGGACTTTTATCCTGCGTAGCAACATATTCATGAGGCTTGACCAGTGATAGCTGCAACATGAAATGTTCACCTCCAGACTTGCTTATGAAAAGCAGGGATCTATGAACAGCTAAATGAAAAAAGTGTTTGGTGGGGGAGCTAACAGTAGTGACTTGTCACTTCTTGTCAATAAACCAGCAATGAGCCTCTGCCTCTGAGAGGCAATCTAAGATGACTGCAAGGAGATAACAGCTATGAAATATCTCAGCTCCCTTGGCTGTTATCATTGATCTCAGATTGCTTGCTAGAGCCTGAGTGAAGCCTGTGCCTGACCTAGCTGGCATTTAAACACGTACCTGCTCCTTGGCCAAAGCTTGTGGCTTTCTCTTGCCTGCCCAAGCCACACTCAGTTCACTCCAGGCTCCTTTCAGTGAAGCCATGTGTCATTTTACTGCCACCTCAGTTGTTTCACCAGGGCCTGGGCTGTCTCTCAGGCTCTTGTTACAGGACAAGCTGTGTTTTACATTCCTCTGTAATTTGTCTCACACCTCACCCTCAGGTCATAAGACTAACATTGCTTCTTACAAGAGAGAAAAATTTTGTTTGACCATACTCAGACCATACATAGCAGTTTTCCTTTCATGGCAAAACAGTTACAGATCATACAGAGGACTCTGCTGAAAACTTTTCTCTGTCCTTCCATTAACTAAAAAAATCCCAAAACAGGTTTTGTAAAACAAATGCTTTCTATATTTAGCCAAACACAAACCATATGCACAGAACAGGGTTGAAATAGCAAGCTTGCACAAGGTTTTTTTTCTAAATTTATGCTTTGTTTGCAAGCATGTGTGGACTTCACTTTGCCCAGTTGCACCCAGACATATGTGGCAGCAAACACAAAATACTGATGCACTGTCTCAGCACCTTCTCTTTGAGGCTGGTGAACTGCATATTTTTGGAGTCATGACTAAAGCCAGACAATCTGGATGAGCACATCACAGAAACCAGGACATGCTATTCAACTCAGCTTCTTTTTGTTTCTGTCTCCCTCTTTAGAAATAATATTTAACTGTAAGGTGTCCTTTCAGCCCAAAGTTCTACTCACAGCCTCACTGTCCTAGAAAATAAATCACTAGCTTCATTATAGTAGATGAGATAGCGTTATCTAAAATTTTTTCACCTACATATTTCTAAAGGGTTTTTGAAAAAAAATAAATAAAGGAAGTCTAGCACTTCTTCCCTGGTTTTATAATTGTTTTATTTCCTTTCATTTTCCTCACAGAAATTTCCTTTGATTTAACTCCACACCACCTGCAGAACGGTAAGAAATAGATAAATTAATAATCATGTTACATTTATACAACATATTAGTGAGAAATCCTTCTTTTTCCACATCTTCTGCAACTTAGTGAAATAGCTGAGCTACTTGGTAACTATCCTAGAAAGATTAGTTTCTATTTTTGATAGTATATTTGCTGCACCTAAAAGTAAAATGTTTCTTGGAGTACTTGTAATGGTTATTAGCTTCAAAACATCAGTTTCCCACATCAAAGTTTCCTATTGCCCCATATTGTGCCCTTGTTGCCCCAAACCATCCTTTCAGTAAGCCTAAATTTTGCTGCATCTAGTTTTAACTTGATGTCTCCAGGTAAAATAAAGCCACATAATTTGTTGGCTCTTTCCTGGTGCCTTCTTTCTTCCACAGGGATTTTCTTTCAAGGTCCCATGCTTGGCAATACCCTTTCCAAATGCAAGGATGCATGGATGGATAGATGGATAAATGTTAAGTGCCTGTATTGCATCTTCCAAATTCAAGTACATTGCATTGCACGACACACTCATCCCTAGTCTCTCACTAATGATACACACTAGGTTATCTTTCATAGTCACAGAGCACTTATTCCAAGTGGACCAATATACCTGCTGCTTTCCTTGTGGAAATGGGTGGAGGTCCTGCTTGCCCTGTTATGTCAGTTTACAGGCGCTGGGATCATGACCTGAGGAAAATTAACTTTCATTTTTGTCTGTAACACAGGGAGAGGATGTTAACCTTCCCTCCCTTTGTGTTTTCCTATACCTTGTGTATTTTCACTGATACTCTCAGCTGCATTCCTACAGCCAGCTGTCTTGTGTTTTTAGTGAGGATAGGAACTGATTTCTGGCTCATGCTGTGTTATAATTTCCAAGCAAAATATCAAAAGGTATGTTCTTTGATATCTTCATTGACAGTATTCCGGACCTTAACTGGGTGTGTGCAGAAATACACTCTTCAGACAGCAGACATTGCTTCATGTTTGGAACTTTCAACTGCATTTGATACCAGGCTCTGACATTTTATTTGCCAGTATGAGATCATACCAAAATTCCAGGAGCCATGGAACCATGGTACCATAATTCTCTTAAATGTCTCTCTCTGCATGCACCCTGCTTCACCTTCATGACAAGGTACTGTGAAAACATCAACACAAAACACTAGAATTAGCAGTAATTAGTAGATGTTTGATGAGAAGAGTCACCTATCCATAAATCATAGAACTCAGAGGAATGACTAGTGTACCTTTCTGTCAGATTTATCACAGTTATGGTTAACTGTATTAACTGGAAAACCCAAGAGCCATTCTGGCTGGAGACACAGTGGGTCACTAGTCTGGTCCTCACAACACTCTTCTAAGCATCAGCTGGCAAATTCTTCCCAGCTAAAACTTCATGTGACTGTTTCTGTTAGTGTTCTTCCCTTCATCTCCTTGCATATGCTTCTTGAGAAATTCACAAATGTTTTGTGACATGACCCTAATCTGTCCTCCTTCCTTGGGAACTTACGAAGCCTCTTTTCAGACTAAATCAATATTCCTCTACTTTTGAACATGCTCTTTTCTAGGAATTTCTGAGGTGAGCTTAACAAAGATGAAGAGGAAGATATTTTATGTTAACTCATTTTAAGCGTTTAATTGTCATAGAATAATCCATAAAACCTCAATCCATCAGGTTCAATCCTTTTTGTCATGTCATATTTTCAACTCAAAGTCACTTAGGCATGTGAAAGTCTAGTACTGGTCCAATCATCTTAAATGACCTGAACATGCAGCTTTAATCTTGTTCCTATATAAATCCAAAACTCATGGATGAGATTTCCTTGTATCAGAGACCATGGGGTTCTGAGTCTAGTCAACGTGTTCTGAGTATGTTTAATGCTAAAAGCAGGTATCTTGGGAGAAAAAAATGGAAAATTAATTCCTTTCCAAATAAACATATTTTTTTGTGTTAAAACCCCGTAGTCAAAGAATTCTCCTTGGAAACAAGAGTTTACCATCCAGTTTCACCTCTTACATTCAGTGATTCAGGCTATACATAAAATTTTAGTCTGAGACCAGGTCAAACATCTCCTGTAATAGCCATAGAACAGGTCATTCAGGCTTGCAGAATTCAAAAGGATCAGATAGACACAAGACATGAACCAGATTGAGCAACCTGTGAAAAGGGTATTCACAAGAATTTGGTGGAGGAAGAAAAAATTATTAGATGTGCATGCAATCTAATTCCAAAGATAGAGCATGCTGAAGTAAACAATTTTCAAATAACCTCATTCAGAATCCTCCGTTCCTTCAGTTCTGCCAATGCAACATTGTATAATATTTACACAGGATTTACCATAGTCCATTTGACATTCATTCTTGTAGCTTCATGTTTCTTGACTATAACACATTCTGTTTGTTCTGTCTCTTCTTTTCTTGACAAGCCTCAGATACTGAATCCAGCTCTTCCTTTTAGTTCTGCTCTCTGAAATTTCTATTTTAAAGACTTTTCAAACTCATCCAAATACATTTATATAAGAGAAATTTCTGAGGTGAATAAGATTATTCTGATAGTCTTTGTGGCCATGGAAGATTTTACATATCCATAAGATATGTACCATCTTCCCAAGACATCTAAAGAAGCAGAGGGTGGGGTCCAAGGGTAGGTCCTGACATTTCCTCAAGCCCTACCCCTGCAGTGAAGAATGTACATAGACTGGGAACAGTGTATCAAAGGCAGTACTGATGTCTCCTCTCTAATGCCCTTCTGCTATCTCATTACCTCCACTGCTCACATCAGAATCCTGGCATGGAGGCACTCCTGAATTGCTCAGGAGCCTCAGGACTTGGTTGTCTTGTGAAGGAATATCTTGACTCATTTTCCACCAATAATTGTTGTGGGAGAATTAAGTTTACCCTGTTTTTATAAATATGACATACAATTCTACACCTTATCAGCTTAATAAAGCCCAAGGGTATGAATCCTTTAATCAACAATTTTTAGGGTCACACACAGTCTTTAAATCTTTATCAATTGGGTAATTTTTGAGAGATGTTTATAATAATTTCTGTTGCATGATCTTTTCTTTACTTCTCCTTTCCCAAGCAACCTGACAACCTTTTCCCTGACTTTCTCTTTAGCTGACATTATTTTCAGTATTGTTGCAAGTCATTGTAAAATGTCACTGTCAGAATCCTACAACCATCACCAACAGTCATAGGTATAGTCAGACGTACTTTAAACGCCTTGGTGTATTGATCTAAGTTGGTGAATCTGCTTCCTTTGTCACTGTCAAAGGTGAAATCCTGCCATTTGAAGAGGTATTATAAGAATTGGGTGTATGTCAAATTATAAATCAGGTTAAAAGCAGGTAAGAAAAAAAAATATGGAAAAAAACTATATTAAAATGTGAACTACTTGTCAGCTGTATAGAAAAGGCCTGGAGAAGACCGAAATCAAGGCTTTTTGTAGAAGTCATGATACCCTTCAAGACTGCTGCATCACTGTTTCAACACTGGTCAACAGCGGTTTAAAGTTATAAATGTCTTCTGGAAGGAAAATGAAGAAAAAGAAAAAAAATATGGTAATATCTACAGCAGCTCTGAAAGATACTTTAATCCCCCAAACCATTAAAAATGTCAACTTCCCCCTCCCTTCCTCTGTTTATATAATTCAGTTATCAGATATACATGTCAAAATACTGCAGTACACAGTTTTCTCTGTAGCATCTCCAGATGAAACGGAAAAGGGATGTAATTCTTTAAATTGTGTAAAAGAGAAGCAAATTAGACAGATATTAAAAAATAACTAGAGTCTCTGAAGAGACTTTTTTATTTCTTAAGAAGTTTGTAAAATGTATTGGGGAAGTAAAGAGCTGCCTGCTGAGGTAAAAAGGACTGGCAACCATAAAGAAAATAAAAAAGAAGATGGAGGGAGGCAGAGATGAAGAAGGAAAGGAAAGGGGAAAGGGGAAAGGGGAAAGGAAAGGGGAAAGGAAAGGAAAGGAAAGGAAAGGAAAGGGGAAAGGAAAGGAAAGGAAAGGAAAGGAAAGGAAAGGAAAGGAAAGGAAAGGAAAGGAAAGGAAAGGAAAGGAAAGGAAAGGAAAGGAAAGGAAAGGAAAGGAAAGGAAAGGAAAGGAAAGGAAAGGAAAGGAAAGGAGGAGATTTTTGCAATATGAAGAATAGAAAAATCTATCTGCTGTCCTGGTTTTTGGTATAGATATCATATTAGGCAAAGGAAGGAAAAGCTGCATGAATATGTCAAAGTGTACAGCTTCAGGGAGGGAACTCTAAGAAGAATCATGCAACCATCATTAATCTCCTGAAAGCAAGACTTTAACATGCAGCAGCATAAAGGCTTCCTGTGAATATCGAACTTTCTTATTACGTAATACAAAAAAGGGCTAAGACAGCATAAAATGAACACAATTATATTGCACTGGATATTATCAGAAATTAATACAATACCATTTCAAAGAGATTTATGACAGTGGTTTAGCTTTTCAGTGGTTAAATAAAGACCTTTTTGCACAAAACTGGCTGTCAGCTTTGGTAAGTGGAAACACATGCATTTTCATTCCACTGCATATAACAGAGGCATTTTACCCTGAAATTTAAAAGGCACACCCAATACATCAGTAATCAATCTGCATCTAGGGCTGCATATAGATCTAGGGCAGGTGTGGAAGCTTATGTGGAATCATACAGGCATGTGAAAACATCCCACTTCAGCTGTAACTTAAAATTTTATGGAGTCACATAACTCAAGTTACTCTTGATGAACTCTTCACTATATTTCTCTGCTTTCATGAGTCACATTTCGGAATGCCACCTCCAATCTCCCTTACTTGCCTCCCTCTCCCCACTCTCAGTCTCACCAACCTTTTTTCACATGGTGCAATGCAGAATACAAAGAAATAAAACTACAGAGAAGATCAATGTAGTATATGGAAAGGAAAACAATTGATGTTGATTTACTCATTTTCTCCCCCCTGTAATAAGAGTGACTAATCTGCAGTAAAGTTC